AGGAGTTCGGGGCTGCACTGCGAAGCGTCCAACGCTACCTGCGGGCCCAAGGTTACAAGCGTGGGAATCGGAAGGGGTCGTCCACCTACCACTTGTCCAAGGCGAACGCCCTTGCCCGGGACGTGTACGTCCGCAAGATGCAGGCCCTGGTTGACGCGCCCGACGGCCCCCATGTCGTGTACACTGACGAGTCCTACATCCATCACCACTACAAGTCCCACCACCAAGCCCTCTACGACCCATCCGACACGATGGACCTGCCATCAAAGGAGAAGCACAAGGGACGTCGCTACTGCTTCGTCGCTGCCATTCTGGACTCACCCACGCTGGAAAGCAAGGTCATGGCCATCGACATTTTCAACGGGTGGCAAGTCGACAGCGAAGCAGCCCAAGGACTACCATGGCATGTTTGACACTGAGTATTACGTGGCATGGTTTGGGCGGCTGCTCGACGAGATGGATGAAGGTGGGATCACGAATGCGTTGATTGTGCTCGACAACGCTAAGTACCACAAGTCGTTGCCCAAGTCTACCCCAACGAGTGGCCGCCGCAAGGGTGTCTTGGTCGACGCGTGTCGAGCGTACGGCATCCCAACGAGCGGGCATGAGCACAAGAGTGAGCTCTGGGGACTGTTGGCGACGCACATCCGAGCCCACGTGAAACCTATCATCACGGACATGGCCGAAAGTCGTGGCCACAGCATCGTGTTTACTCCTCCTCATCACTCAGATTTACAGCCCATAGAAATAGTTTGGGCAATTGTCAAGGGCGAGGTTGGTCGGCAGTACACAGACATGACAAAGTTTCCCGATGTTAAGCTGCGCCTAGAAGCTGCATTTGCCAATCTAAAGCCTAGCACCATCAAGGGTTGTGTTCGTTCAGCGCAAGAGAAGCTTCAATTGCTTCACAATCATCTCGTTCAAGTCGACGCACTGGAGTCTGAGTCGTCGTCAGCTGCGAGCGGAAATTCAAGTGATGATGGCAGCGACTCGGATGACTAGATCGAATAACTTCCAAAATAGATGTATTCGTTTTGAAAATCTAATTCTGAGTCAAAGTTCTCTATGATTGCATACCTCAATAAGTTTATAGAGAAATAGAATAGGCGTTCGTTGTTGTCGAGAACTGTAAATATCTATTTCTGGACCCATTCATCACCAAATTTGAATCTGAGACGAAGAATTTCTTCACCACATTGAGATCTGTCGATTCTACATCTCAATTTGCTGAAATTTTGAGTAATGAATATGAAATAGAAGTCAGAAATTTTTGTGAAAAGTTGGTAGTTTATAGATGACGTGCATGACAACCGGGGGTTCCTTGCAAGCATCGCTTTATGCCACATGCGCAGCCGCAGGGACGTTGAGCGCCGTCAACAACCCAGTACAGTAGGTGCAATGCGTGCAGTTTGTGACCTTGCACCATCCCGATAGGCTGTAGTGTGCATCGCGCCGACGTACAACTTTGAGGTGGTCGATGAACACATGTATCTGTTAGGTGGTTTAGTTCGCCACTATCCCACCGCTCGCCTACTAGTACTTCCTACGTACTGCTATCTACGTTTGGTGCCGACCATGCCATTCATTCATGAAGCGAAATTGGTAATTTAGCATATTCAAGTGTTTTGATTGGATACTGTGTGTGAAAAGGTTTTCCCAGAAATTCTGACAGAATATATTCATCAAGAAACTCCCAATAAAATCAGATCAAAAGGCTTCATTGTGATAGTTTACAGGAAATATCACGCAGCAAAATCCCTCTCGTCCGCACTACTGTAATTACGGTCGACGGTGAAACGCGAAAATGTAGCGCAGAACACTTCCCCCTAAAAAGAGTGTACAAGGGTCTTGTCGAGTCGCCATTTTCATCACATATTGGTTTTCGTTTTGGTGAACCCAGCGACAGAAAGCGATGGGCATGACTTTTTAGATGGAGCGCACGGGCTGCCATGAGGCTTCCTATTCATCCGTCGAATACATGGATGAGGTCTTGGTATTCGCCATTTTCTAGCCAGGATGAAGTGAAGTCGGTGACACATAGTATGCGGTCGTGAATTCGTGGTGGGTGCCGACGGCCTTGCCGATCTTGTCGATGACTGCGTTCTTGAAATGGGAGTCGCTGTCGGAGACCCAGATATGGATATACCTATTGGTCGTAAACCAGCCGACGACACGGTGGGTGGGCGCTGGACGCCTTAAGTTACCGCACCAGACAGTTTCGGTCAGGAAGAAGTCGCACTTCGTCGGGTTGAGCTTCAGGTCGAAGGAGGAGCAGATCCTGAGGACTTGGTCGAGGAGGTCTCTGTTGGGTGTGGAGTATCTTAGCAAGAGACAGGTAGTATCCTTGCAAGCGCACTCCATTCCCATTGGTCAAGGATCTGTCGACACGACCGAAGAGAGCTCGATAGGGGATGCAAATGTGCGTTGTGAATCAGTAGATCTAAGACCTTTAACATAGTCAGTCTTCTTTTACCTTTGAAGCCGGTGCATCGAGTTCTAAAGGAGTCACTGCCAGTTCAGGCCCGGCAGACACAACAATAAATTTATTAGTCTCGTTTGACTAAAGGAACTCACGCTTGCAAGCACCATGGAGCCCGAGCCCGCCACCCCGCGTGCCTTGGCACCCCCGACGACATACGACCCACAACAAGGATCGTTGTCTGACCGCACCCTCGACGATGGCTTCTACACCGCGTCGGCGGCGGCGGCGAATCCGCAGCCAGAAGCTGCAACGGAACCGATGGCGAGCCTCCCACGTGAGCAGGCATTACCACGGATCCCGGAGACGTCCGGGCAACAACAAGGATACCCACCAGGCGCGGCCTACGGTGGTCTCCCAGCGCAGTCCTACCGCCCACTAGCGCGACAGTCGTCGCGGGTGGGTAGTGGCTCGTCGATGGTCATGTCCATCGTCGCGCCCAACTACCATGGAGTGCCAACGACAACGACCCGACAACCGGGCCAAGTGCCAGCTTACCACGGCCGACAGTCGTTGATGGGTATAATTCACGGTGGACAACGTGTCGCACCGTCACAACATACGTCGTTCCATCATCACGTTTACGCGGCGCCTGTGCAAGCGCAGGGCCAAGGGTGGGTCGACGATGTACGCGCGCGCGAGCATGCCCTACAACAGCACGAGATGCAATTGGCGGCGCATCGCGAGCGCATCGAGGCAGACCGGCGTCAAGCCCACTTTGAGTGGGAGCAGCGCCAGATGCACCAAGCAGCTGCGCAGTACAAGTACGCGGTCGAACAAGATGCGACGGCGCACACCGCGCAGTTCAAGGCGAACTTGGAGCGCGAGGCGTCTGGGTACAAGGCGCACCTCGACATGGAGCAGCAGCGTGCTTTCAACAATGCCAACCTCAACTGGCAACAGATGCAGCAGCAGCAGCATCAGCAACAGCAGCAACTGTGGCAGCAGCAGCAGCAAGAAGCGCAAACTACAATGGACCAGCGTCTTGCAGCCATGCGGCAAGAGGAGCGTGCCCGGTACAACGCGCAGCTGCGCGCAGCCGGTGTCGACGTCTCGGCGGAGGGCGACGCCGGGGTCAACATCCCGACCGAGGGAACGGCCGAGAACACTCAGTTACCTGGGTCGCCGTTAACCTCGGGAGTGGGTGAGGCCCCTCCAGGGAGTTTCGAAGACGGGTCGACGTTCTACACGATGGGCAGCCGTCCGATGTCGGCTCCAGTGCGACATCCAACCCCGACGAGCCCGTTGCCACAGTCAACGGCTGCGCCACTCATCAGCGGGTACACGCCCACGAAGCCACCTGTCTATGGCAAGGACGGCTTCAAGGAGCGCGACCCACAGAAGTTCGCCAAACGTTTCATCGTGTACGCCCGCGGCCAAGACGCTATTAGCGTGAGCAGCGGTGTGCGCATCGGGACTGTATCAATGAGCTCCTGCATGACGGCGGAGGCTCTCGCCCACCACGCGCGGTTCCAATTCGATCGTCCCATCGAGGACATCCGCGAGACGGAGTGGGAGGCGATGTTCGAGGCGGCGATGCTCATACCAATGTCGAGCAAGGCTGTCGTTGTCGCCCGCCTCAAACAGCTGTCGATGGACAACACCCTCCTTCGCACGAGCGACCGTATGACGGACTGGCAGGCGAGGTACATGGACATCCTCACGGATGAGGCAGCCGAGGACATCGACTTCTTCCATCCCAAGGCCGTCAACCAGGCGCTCATGTATGGCATCAAGCCCGACGGCGCGAAGGCGCTGGTGCGCAACAGCTACGACTTCGATGACAAGGAGATTAAGTTTAACATCTCCAAGTTCTGGAGCCATGTGCGCGGTGTGCTGAGCAACGTGCTCCCAGCCATGGCGGCCGAGGCGGACGCTCTCCGTGCCA